CTGCGAGATTGTGACGCTTCACGGGGTGCCCGAGAGTATCATTAGTGATAGGGACCCGAAGTTCACATCTCGATTCTGGGAGGCGCTGTAGGAGGCTTTTGGTACACAGTTGAGATTGAGTATCGCCTATCACCCTCAGACTGATGGACAGACTGAGAGGACCATCCAGACCTTGGAGGACATGTTGCGAGCTTGCACGTTGGAGCAAGGCTCGGCATGGGATAGGTACCTTCCGTTGGTTGAGTTTTCTTACAACAACAGCTTTCATGCTAGCCTGGGCATGGCGCCCTACGAAGCACTGTATGGTAGGAGGTGTCGGACTCCTACTTGTTGGTTTGAGGTTGGGGACAAGGAGTTTTTTGGCTTGGACTTTGTCCAAGATACCACCTTGCAGATCCAGATGATCCGTGAAAAGTTGAAGCAAGCACAGAATCGCCAGAAGAGCTACTATGATGTCAAGCATCGTCCGTTGGAGTTCAGTGAGGGTGAGCACGTTTTTGTGAGACTTTCACCTGTCACCGGTGTTGGTCGGGCACTCGGAGTGAGGAAGCTGAGCCCGCGATATATTGGGTCATACCAGATCCTTGGTAGAGTAGGACATGTTGCCTACCGGCTTGCCTTGCCTCCGAACTTAGCTAACATCCATGATGTGTTTCACGTGCCTCAGCTTTGGAAGTACATAGCAGATCCTTTGCACGCGGTGCAACCGGATGATGTGGAGGTTCGGGAGAACCTGAAAACTCCCGTCGGACCACTCAGAATTCTCGATCGTGGCGAGAAGCAGCTGAGGAGCAAGATCATTCCAATGGTCAAGGTGCAGTGGACCGAAAGAACTCCTGAGGAGTGTACTTGGGAGCGTGTGGACGAGCTTCTCCGGCAGTACCACGAGTTTCGACTAGGTATGTTTCTGATTTTGAGGTCAAAATCCTAAAAAGGTGGGGTGAATGTAAGAACCCGCACCGTTGATTAAGGTATTTAATTAATTAATTATGTGAAAATAAGAGATGATTTCATAATTGACCCTAATAATTATTAAGAGGCTTTAATAATTATGGTAAGTGATTAAGAATGCTGAAAGTCGCTTTTCGGAAGAAAAATACAGATACCGGTTCTGCTAGTCGGTATAAATGCGTACCGAAAAAGTATCCCAGAAAATTAATGTAAGTGCATGATAATTACTAGAATAATATGTAGGACTTGTAAAACGAGTTTCAAGTCCAAATAATGAGAACTGATACCAGAAACTGATACTGGCTATCAAAAACGCGTACCAGAAAGGTACTCAGAAAATTATAAGAAAAATATGATAATTCTTGGAAAAATGTGTAGTTTCATATTCCAAAGTTTGGGATTAAAATGCTAAGCGTAGGAATTAAAGCTAATACTGTGTGTTTATTGAGTAAGTGGCTATATATACTATCTTTAAGGGCACAATGCCCTAGAAAACAGAACTCCTACGTGGTTGCTAAGGGGCTAGTCAGCTGATACTCTGTTCTTGGAGGTTCTCTTCTCCATGAGAGGCCAAGTTCCTACATTTTCTTTGATTTCTTCACACTTTCTCTTGGGGAAACACTTGGTGTGAGTGAGGATCATCATTGGGAGTGTGTTGGTGGTCTTGTTCTGAGTTTTGAAGTCAGTGTGAGGGAGGTTTGGTTGCTGACTTGTTTGTTTTGGGTTGAGAGAAGCTTAGTTTTGGATTTTGGAGGTCCAAGTGGTGACCTTTTGTGTTAAAGAACCAACCTTTGTGAAGCCATTTTCGTGCATCATCCTTGAGTCAGACTTGAGGGGCTGTGTTGAGCTCCAAGAGCATCTCCATTCTGAGTTTTGAGCCTTGGTATGTTGTACCACCCTTTGATCTTGAGTTTTATGCTTAAAAATGGATGCTTGATGCATGTTAAGGTTAAAAGATGATAACTTGTTGTTGGGTAATGCTTAACACACCTAGAAATGCATGTTAAGTGTTTAAAATCGGTAAAAACCCAACCTTGAAGGATATCTTCACGAAATGCAGAAACTGCATTCTGTCGTGAAATATCCGGATATCTGCCCATGGAATATCCGGATATTGGATATCCGGATATGATATCAGGATATGTGATATCCGGATATGGGGTTTTGGGATATCTGGATATTGGATATCCGGATATGGGAATCTGTATATCCGGATATTACATATCCGGATATGGACAATGAGATATCCAGATATTGCATATCCGGATATGGTCCCGAGGAATATCCGGATATTCTGGGATTTCGCAGAACAGTAGCTGTGCTGTGTGTGCAGTAGGCTATTGGGGGTTTGTGGACCTAGATTGTTGAAGTTGAACTTCTGTAATTAATGGACTAAGTCAGCATCATGTGATTAAGGGCTTGTGGCTTTGTTAGAAGCTTTAAGACATAAAACGTCATGAAAAGGCGTTGTCTTTAATTTGTATGCATGTGGTACATGTTTATTGATTTATATTTGGTCCATATCAGATTGTGATCTGCTGTGATTGGACTTTGAGCTTGTGGCATTGGATAGCTAGCTTAGAGGTAAGCTTTCGTGTCCTCGGTTTAGCCATGTTGTGGTTCCACCATGTCCCATGAGGATATGGTTATATGCATGTTATGTTTCATGCTTTTGATGTTTTGGAAATTCTGTTGAGCTGTTATATGTTAGTGCCTTGTTGATATGCATGGAGGTGTCCACCTATACGGTAAGCCTGAGTATGTAGAACATACAAGAGGGTGAGGCTGTGGGTGAGGTGCAAGCGGTGTTCCTTGTACTACATGTAGGGAATAGACGTATTCCTACATTTCTCTGGCCAGTAGATATTGATTACACACATGCCATAGATATCTGTTGCACTACATAGTTTTGGAACTGATAATGATATAAATGCTTTTAGAACTTATATTGCACATGTAAGTGAGCTTGGGGTAGAAGATCCTTGAGGACCCCTTGTCTTACTGAGATTTCTTGTTTAGAGATCTCACCCCACGTTTGGGGAATGCTTATTTCAGGGTCAGGTAATGTTGAGACCTCAGGCGGCAGGAGGCCGAAGCTGAGTTAGATTGCTGTTATATTATGCTGCCATGGTTGGATGCTGGATATGCATGCTGCTTATATGCTTATAGCTTCAGTTTATGTTTATGGAGTTTTATGTTGAGACTGGTTGTTTACTATGTTTATTTGGTGAGCATGGGGATTGTCCATGACACATAGTATTGCTATGTCTTGTTATGTCTTGAGTCTTTTAGAGTTGTAATAATGTATAAGGATATTGTCCGGATTACGAGATGTAATATCGTGATTTAGATACACACTTTATTTATGTATTGAGGTATTTCAGTAGATGTCTTATTGCAATTTATATACAGGCGATATTTTATGAAATTGATTAAGTAATCAAGTTGGTAATTGATAATGACGTCATAATTGAAAAGAAAAAGAATATTCCGCATTTTTAATTAAGCACCGCTTAATACGATGTAATGTTAATATTTATACACGGGGTGTTACAACATCCACGTAGCACTAAGAAATCTCTAGGGTTTTGTGCCAACAATTGTATTTATAGCCACTTAACAATAAAACACACAATATTAACATTAATTGCTACGCTTAGCATTTTAATCCCAAACTCTGGATTCTGAACCTACTAAATTTTACAAGATTTATCATATTTTTCTTGTATTTTTCGCTGCACCTTTTCGGTACGCGCTTCTCCATAGCCAGTATCAGTTCTGGCACCAGTTCTCATTATTTTGACCTGAAACTTGTTTTTCTAGTCCTATATAATATTCTAGGAATATTCATGCATTTATTATAATTTTCCGGGATACTTTTTCGGTACGCATTTATACCGAGTAGCAGAACCGGTATCTGCACTTTTCGTCAGAAAAACAACTTTCAGAATTATTAACCACTTTCTATATTTATTTAAGCGTTATAATAATTATTAGGGTCAATTATGGAATTATTTCCTAATTTCTCATAATTAATTATTTAACTTCCTTAATTAATGGTGCGGGTTCTTACTTTTAACACAGCTGACTGGACCAGGAGCAACAGAAGTTGGAGGCTAACCTGCCAATGGCTGAGAAGGAGCTCGGAACCTAGTTCTACTGAACCGAGTTCCCCAAGTAGAAAGTCATGAACGGCCCAACCTCGTTAACGCAGCGAACCCGAACCAGGGAAACCAGGCTATTGATGGCCAGAATGCTCAAAACCATCAGGCACAAGCTAATGGCCAGGAAGACCGGGTTAGGACTCATCCTGACCAGAATGCTCAAAACATCCGAGGACGAATGGAACCCAGCGGATACAGAAGGAAATACAGCAGGGGGCATTATAACAACAGCCCCTTTACTGGGGAGATTTTGAACGCACCTTTCCCTAAGGATTTCGATTCGGCACGACTGCCGAAGTATGATGGGAGTCAGGACCCACAGGTCCTCATTGACGCTTTTGATACAGACATGTACATCCGAGGCATAGACGAGCCTCTCATATCTCGAATATTTGCCATAACCGTGACTAGGGCTGCGCAGGCATGGTTCTCTACCTTACCTGCCAACTCCATTGGGTCTTTTGAGGAATTCGGAGAGGAATCCAAGGATATCTCAATCGATTCAAGGATGCCGCGTTGCAGGTACCGGGATTGCAAGAAAACGTCCACGTGCATCTCATTGTGTCTGGCTTGGACGGTGCATCCAGGTTGGCCAAGTCAGTCTATAAAGACCCAGTGAAGACATTGGAGGAGTTCAGAACCCGTTCGAAGAAATACCTCGAACTCGAACAGATGGAGATTGCAAATGCACAACCCGAAGAGGGTAAGAGAAATAGCCCGCGAAGAAGAAGTCTGGTCTTGAAGGGAAAAGAATGAGTTGACAATAAGAAAAAAGATCCTAGGGCTAGAATCTCAGATACCAGAGATCGAGTTGGAAGGTTCGACAGGTATACGCCGTTGAATGCTTAACGCTCTCAAATCTGGAGAGAAGTGGCAATAACGGAAATGAAGAAGGTGGAACGACCTCGGCCCATATTCGACAGAGGAGGTATGGACAAATCAAAGTACTGTGCATTCCATGACGGACCGGGACATACTACTGATCAATGCTGGGACCTTCGAGATGCGGTGGAGAAATTTGTTCGAGATGGAAGGTTACGTCAATACGTGATAAAAACTCAAGGTTCCAGAAACAACAAAAAGAAGTTGGGAAACAAAAATCGGAGCAAAAGCCCCGTTCCTGAAAAGAAGAACAAACAGTAAAGGAATCAGAAAAATGATCCCAACTATGACGAATTCCCAGAAGTGGAATTTGATTGTAATGTAATTAGTGGAGCCCTGGGAGGAGGAGGAGATACTGTAAGTGCTAGAAGAAAATACCTGAAAGAGGTACTCTCTATTAGAGATCGTCCCAAGTTCAAAGAAGACCCAACCAAGTCAGACCCTCCTTATTTGTACTTTACCAAAGAGGACATGCACGGTGTGGTTCCGGGTCATGTTGACGGACTGGTCATTGCTGGGACCTTAGTGAATTGCCAGGTTCGGAAGATTTTCGTGGATGCAGGGAACTGTGCTGACATCATACTCTGGGACGCTTTCAAAAGATGAATCTGGATGAGGAGGACCTCAAACCTTGCAAAACGATGCTGATAGCCTTTAATGGAGAGCATACACCTCCTAAAGGCTACATTGATCTCAGATTAACCTTGGGAACAAAGGAAGCGTTCAGATCAGAATGGGTTAGGTTCATAGTGGCCGATTTCCCTTCAGAATATAATATAATCCTGGGAAGACCGACCATACATCAGTGGGACATGCTGGTTTCTACAAAACACCAGAAGATAAAAATGGTGAGCAATATGAATGAAATAATCACTGTTTGTGGAGATTAGAAGGAATCCAGGGGCTGTTACTTTGATACCGTCAAAGAAAATGAAGAGGGACGTTCGAGCCCACCCTGAATTCACCCAGGGGATAAAACCGGTAGGAATGTAACTCCTCAACACTCAAGGAAGCCAGTCAACATGGTTGAACTCGACATGAGAAAAGAAATAATGCCGAGACCCGAGCCTGATGGAGAGCTAGAAGATCTCACACTGGGGAAAGAGCCTGGTCAATTTACCCGAATTGGTAAAACCGTTGATCCTCAAATTAAGCAAGTATTGGCCGACTTTCTAAAAAGCAACACAGATGTGTTTGCTTGGAATTCGTCTGAGATCCTAGGCATCGACCCCGCTTTCTGCTGCCACAAGCTGGCAGTTTATCCGGGATCCACGCCCGTTTCCCAGAAGAAAAGAAAGCTGGGGCCAGAAAGGAAGCATGTTCTGCAAGAACACGTCAAGGAGCTTTTGGATGCCGGGTTCATTCGGGAGATACAGTACACGACATGGCTTGCAAATATGGTGATGGTGAAAAAACCGAATGGGAAATGGAGAATCTGTACTGATTACAGAATCTGTACTGATTACACAGACTTAAATAACGTTTGCCCGAAGGATTCTTATCCTATGCCTAACATAGACCAGCTGGTAGATAACTCGGCTGGGTTTCGTCTGTTATCCTTCATGGATGCCTATTCGGGATACAATCAGATCCCAATGTGCCCGGCGGATCAAGAAAAGACCGCCTTTATTGCTTAAAAGGCCAATTATTTCTACAATGTGATGCCATTTGGGCTTAAAAATTCAGGGGCAACCTATCAGAGGATGATGAATAAAGCCTTTGAAGATCAGCTGGGCAAGAATGTAGAAGTATACATTGACGATATGATCGTAAAGTCGTTTGATTTGATGAAGCATGTCCAGGATCTCAAGCATACATTTCAAAAGCTCAGGAAGTACCGCATCCGTCTCAACCCAGTAAAATGTGTGTTTGGGGTACCATCTGAGAAATTATTGGGTTTCATGCTAACCCATAGAGGAATTGAAGCGAACCTTGACAAATGCAAGGCAGTACTTGATATGAAAGAACCCCAAAACAAAAAGGAAATTTAGCAATTAACCGGTCGATTAGCGGCCCTAACCCGGTTTCTGCTGAAGTCTGCTGAAAATGCCCTTCCATTCTTTAAACTATTAAAGAAGGAGGCAATTGAAGGATGGAACCCGGCGTGCCAAGCCGCGTTCAAGAAAGTCAAGAAATGCTTAGCAACTCCACCAGTGCTCTCAAAGCCAAACCCAGGAGACATTCTAATCCTGTATCTAGCAGTGGAGGAGGAAGCAATAAGTGCTGTGCTGATCAAAGAAACTAGCGAAGGCCAAGAATCGATTTACTTCATCAGCAGAGCCTTAGAAGGTGCGGAGGTCAAGTATCAAAAACTAGAAAAAGTGGCTTTCGCGTTGCTGATCGCGGCCAGAAGATTGCGGCCGTATTTTCAAGGACACCAAATAATAGTCCAACAAAACATAACCATGCCGATTTTTGTGTTGCTGATAACCTCGGCACAAGACTGGAGGAAACCCATAGTGGATTACCTGGAAAAAGGAATGTTACCAGAAGAACGTTTGGAATCTAGAAAGCTGGTCCCATATGCGACACAATATACGATTGTGCATAGTCAGATGTTTAGAAAGGGTTTGCATGTACCCATGCTGAAATGCTTGAACTCGGAAGAGGCAGAATATGTCCTGGCCGAGATACATGAAAGAATCAATGGTCATCACATGGGAGGCAAAGCTTTGGCTAAAAAGGCTCTTCGAGCCGGTTACTACTGGCCGACTATGCAAGCTGACTCTAAAGAACATGTTAAGAGATGCGACAGCTGCCAGAAGCATGCCAAGCTAATTCTTTCCCCACCTTTCAAAGCAGCTGAAGGACAATTAAAATGGTTGATCATAGAAGTAGATTACTTCACAAAGTGGATAGAAGCGGAGCCAGTGACGACAATTACTTCGGCTAGAGTGCAAAGGTTCTTCGAACGGAACATAATATCCAGATTCAGGATACCAGCTGAAGTGATCACTGATAATTGATGAAAGACTTGCAAGTCAGACATCGCTTTGCATCTGTGGAACACCCACAGTCAAATGGACAAGCCGAAGCTGCAAACAAGGTAATTGTGGAAGGCCTCAAAAAACGCATGTTTGATGCAGGAAAAAGCTGGGTTCCGCAGCTCTACTATGTCCTCTGGGGATACAGAACAACTACCCAAACTGCAACAGGGGAAACCCCTTTTCGACTAATGTATGGCTGCGAAGCTATGATCCCAGTAGAAATTGGAGAACCTTCTTGGAGGAAGATAAATAGTAGCGAGCACGGCGAGCAGCTGAACATTAATTTACTCACTGCCAAATTAGACTTTGCTGATGAAGTTCGGGTTACGGCACATTTCCTGGATGTGACAGCCAAGCGACACATGGCAGTCCGGTACAACAAAAAAGTGAGGCCAAGAATCTTTGAAAAGAATGATCTGGTACTCAGACGAGCGGATGTCGGAAATAAAAACGCCAAAGATGGAAAGCTAGCTGCAAATTGGGAAGGACCTTACCGAGTTAGAGAAAAACTCGGAAAAAGAGCTTATATCTTGGAGACAGTCGAAGGCAAAGGAGTTAAGCGGACCTGGAATGCAGATAAGCTGAAGGCATACTACAACTAAATCTGCACTCCACCGCTTCAATATTTCAAAGTTGCAATTTGATTTAAGTTCTTTCCTCTATTAGGGATTTGACTAAAGCCGAATGTGCCGGCAAATTCACATGGACAACAATTTGATTTCAATAAATGAGGAATGTTTCTTTTCTTTTAAAGATTTGTCCTTATCTTATTTTGATGCATCAATTCGACATCTGAGGTACAAGCGCAATGTGTCATAACGACTCTGATCAAGTCGAAATGCTCCTTATTTCGGTTTATGAGCCAAAAGGGACATATGATTGCATTGTCTTTACCTTAAATAAAAGTGAATTAAAAATTCAGACCATACAGACTTATCAAAATAGTTAAGTCCCAATAAACATACGCCATCGAGAATGACATAAAGCGGAATCCGTACAATGCTTTGACCTCAGCCAGGTCATGAGTAAAGCACTCGTATGATGCACAAGTTTAGTAAACTATTTTAAGTTGATAGCTTACGCTAATAAGCGGCTATCAACTTGGATAAGACTTCTTACATAACTTGGAAAAACTGAGTTTTGAAAGGAAAGCTATCCCGAGTTACGATCCGAGTAATATACTGAGGGGAAACTCTGATAAGGGTTAACGTATACGCAAAAAAGACTAAGTTGTACGCTTAGATAATGCAAACACGAAGATAGCCTTTTAACAAAGCAAATGCAACACAGCAATGACATACTGGGTTATGCAAATTCGAATACATAGATAAATGCATCTATGGTCAAAACACAATATGCAACGAAAAAAGCAATGCTTGAAGGGTAAAATTCAAACCGGAGTAAAACCGGCAATATTCAGGATAAATAAAAAATGGGCCCAAAGGCCCCAACAAAATACATCTCCAACCGGCATTCCGACCCTTCATTTTGTCTTGCTGGCAGGAGGATTTTCCAGCACCATAACCTCCTCGCCGGATTGATTGGCCGACTCAACTTCCTTTTCGGGTTGGTTAGTTGCCTCATCACCATCCTCAACGGTAGCAACTTTTCCGGATTGTGAAGCCGAAACACGGGAAGGAGAGGCGGCAACTGGAGAAATTATTCGACTATCAACAACATATGCACATGGGCTTAAGCCAACCACATTCAAAAGCAAATCGGGGTTCAGAACTTGCAGTTGGCTTAATGCATTGTAGAAGGAACCAGTGATGGACTTTTCAAGTTCACCCCGGTAAAGTTGAGCTTCGTCCTGAGCCTCCCTCAACTGGGCCTTGGTTTCCTTCAACTTGCCCTGCACTGCCTTCATCTCCCCCTTCGTCTTCTCATACTTGATTTTGAAATCACTCAAACTCTTGCTGTTGCAGGCATGGATATACTGGAGCTTGTCATGATCATGTTGAAGTTGGGTCAAGGATTCCTGTGCTTTGCCCAAGTCAGACGAACTTTGGGCATATTTTTCCTTCAACGATGACAAATCTTCTTTAACCTTAAGCAACTCGGCAACAGTCTTTGTTTTTTCCTCCCGAGAGGCAGCAACCTCATCAAGGGAACGAAGATACTTACGCTTCAACGAATGCAATGATCTCGTTAACCCAGACATCTTCAGGCCACCGAGCTCTAGATCATCCAGCACCTTAATTTCCTTAGTTGTGAAAGGGTTTGCACTGGAGAATGACTCAGGCGGACAAACTTCCTCTCGAATAGCATCAGACAACCCAGACTGTCATACGGCATACTTGGCCAAACCGAAAGACGAAGGAGGAGGAGGGGCCTTCATCACTTGCCGAGGAGAGGAGGGCGTAACATTTTTGGCCGAGATCTCCTTGCCTTTGTTCCTAACTTGTCGTTTCTCTGTCACATTGGCTTTTGTTTTGTCGATAGCATCCTTTTTCAGATTCAGCTCTGATGCCTTCCTCTTTTTCTCCAATTCGGTGGAAGTATCCTTCTGCGACCACCCGGACGGAGACACTTTCCTTCCCTTGGTCAACGCGTCCAACCAGCTGGGATGAGTGTTTGGTTGCTTTTCCATTTGGGGAACTGCAAAACAAAATAATGAAATCAGTTGTTAAGCACAATACAAAGCACTTCAATATAGCAATCACACATACTCAATTCGGCATCAAGCTTCTCTTGAGACTTATAAATGAGAGATGCAACGCTAGCATGCTGACGCGTCTGAAGGTATGTACCGATGGCGATCACGGTATTAATATCATTGGAGTCTAACTAGGATTCTTTGAAGCGGTAGCTTGAAGGAGGAAATTGGAAATGATCGGATGACCAGCATAAGGGAAATTTTCCATCTACGTCCTTGGTACCACAGTTTTGGAGAAACCATACCTCCTTACCGGGATGCGCACAAACCTTAAAGAACTTGTCTTTAAAACCTTTAAAAGACTCAGTGTAGACCTTAAAGAGTCTACGGCCAGGGACACCTCTGACAGTAATCCAACATTTCTGTTCTGGCAGTTCGCGACCAGTTCGACAAGAGTTAACTTGAAAGAAGAAAAAGAAAACCATAACAGAAGGATGAAGAACAAGATAGGCACAAAACTGCTCGAATGCCTTAACGAAACCCCACCCGTTGGGATGGAGTTGTGTAGGGCATATGTGCAGATGATTGAGTATCTCTGTTTGAAACTCGGTTAAGGGAAACTGGAGTCCGAGTTGAGTAACGAAATCACGGTAGAAGAAAAAGAAGCAAGGACCCTCTTTAGTTCCGCCTAAACATACGGGTTCGTCTTCTTCGGGAGTCACGATATCAAAATTTTCAACCAACCTGACAGAAAGCCCAGCCACGTCCTCCGAAGAAAGCTTGGACGTGGTATTCAAAACCTCATGAGTCACCCAGGGAAGCTGGGATATCAATGAGGCAGGTGGAGACCCAGAATGCGACTCGGCAGAACCATATTCCTCTACTATCTCTTGAGGAGGGGATGCCATAAATGCCTAGAAAAACAAAAAAATTTAAATCAGAAGGAAAGAATGGGCATACTTGTATCAAAAATGCTACTAGATGACGAGTCACTAGAAGATGAAGAGCTCGGCACGTCAGAAATAGTAATCGGATCATTTGCCTCACCAGATGCCGACATCGATCCAACAAAAATCTCATGCCGGCAACTCTCTAAAGTGGACTCGGCCAACGAGTCACATCCTTGCTCGACAAGCTTAGCACTCAGATAGACGCAAGAATAACATGGGACACCTCTTAAGACAGAGGAATGATGAGGGAAAACACGGATGTTGGAACGCGAACCTGAAGTGATCATGGGCTGGCAAGAAAGCACAGCCCCGGATTGAGAAGACGGAAGTGAAGGACTATTTTTTATGAGACCTTTATCTCGGGAAGAGCAGCCTCTACCCCGGGGAGGCCCTAACTCCCTATTCGACACCCTGGCCTATTTCCGAGATCTACCACCACGGCATCCTCGAAGCATAGCTTCCCGCTCTTCTTCTTTGGTCCTGGGAATCTCCCAAAGCCAAAAACGGGCACCAGGAGGAATATTTTTGAAAAATCAGGATCTTCCTCCCTCTTCCCTTTAAAACAGAGAGCTGAAGAAAAAGAGTTTTCCCCCCTCATTTGGTCAAAAAACTGAAAAACGCTAAATGTCAAATAGCAAATGGAGGAGGAGGAAGGCATGGTGATAACCACCAGCACGACAGGAGGGAACACACAAGTTCTGAAAGATGCAAACTATGGAAGTTTTTCATAGATTCTGGAGAAATAACAAAAAATCGACGAAGGAAAATATGCAACTTCAAATTTAAAAAGCATACTGGCAAACAAATGTTCAAATACAGAATCACAAAACACAAGCAGCAAAAGAGTGAAGATGTGTCAAATACCTGTTGAAAGAAATATGAAAGACTGAGATTGAAATGCTGGGAGTAAGCTGTTGGACATTTAGCAAGTGCACTAGTCGTACAAGTAATAAAATGATGAGTAAAGATCGTTCCCACGAGGATTTGTGTCAAGCATTGACTAACCATATGTACTTGAGTTGAATCAAACAAAAGTTCATAGATTGCATAGATTTCTTGTCACCAGAAACTACACTGAATTGAATTAAAACTTGATAAATAATTAAAATGTAAATTATAATGTAAACAAGTAGTCAGATGTCATTTTCCCTCAAACATGAATTTATAGATGAACCAATTTCCATTATGAATTATCTACCATGTGATGTTGATTAACCTTTTTCTTATCATCTCAAGATGTAATCCCTTACTACCCTGATAGACACATTAATCAGAAACCCCAATCCCTTGGTGATTCCTTTCTTAATACATGCATTAATTACTAAGGTCTTAAGAACACATAAGAATCCTAGCATCAATCCCTTGACTACTAGAACACTGATGATGAAGTTGTCAAAAATAGAGAAACAATGTAAACATGTCTGTTCTACACT